GGGGTCAGGCTCAGGGTGGAGTGTCTCAGCCTGGCCTGTCCTTACACTCTGTGCAGATGTGACCCTTCCTATGAGGAGCCCCAGCCTGCTCCTTCCCCATGGCCAACTCCACTACTGACATTTTATTGTGGCTGTAGGAGTGGGCGTGGGTGAAATAGATACAATTCCACAGGGAGGATAAGAAGGGGTGGAAAAGAGACAGCTCCTTCCCAAACCTTATTCCACATCCTCCCATGAGCCAGCCAGGCTCAACTCGGGCTGTCAACATGGGAAGAAGAGTGTGTTCCGTTGGCTTTATCATAAATCCAATTACAGCTACCTTTCTCCTTCAACCAAACCGAGCGATATTATCAGTAATAATAACACCAGGTTCTTGCAGGTGTAGAAAGCCTTAGTTTTGCTCTGGACTGACAAATATCACCCCGCGCTGCCTCGGAACCCTTGCACTCGCCATTTCTACTCTTTCTCCCAGATCGGCACAGAGATGGCTACATCGAATTATTCAGATCTGGAATCAAAGTAGGCCCCACTCAACCTCCATCACTGTCACCTCCCTCTGCTTTATATCCGTAGCATGTCACAACCTGTAACTAGTTTGTTTGAGGTCTGTCTCCCTCTAAACCTTGTGAGGACAGGGACTTTACCTCGTGTCCCTAGCTGTTTTCAAAGTGTCCAGTCAAATGTCTACCACATGGGAGGTGTTCATACATACATGCTTGTTGAACAGGTGAATAAATGGGTTCCATTTGGTCTTCAACAGAACCCTGTGAGGTACCCAGGGCTTCATGGGAAAACAGAGCTGGGGGCCAGGCACAGTGGCTCACACCTGTAATCCTAGCACTCTGGGAGGCCAAGGCCGGAAGATGGCTTGAGCTCAGGAGTTCAAGACCACCCTGAGCAAGAGCGAGACCCCCCATCTCTACTAAAAATAGAAAAATTAGCCAGGCATGATTGCACGTGCCTGTAGTCTGAGCTACTCGGGAGGCTGAGGCAGGAGGATCGCTTGAGCCCAGGAGTTTGAGGTTGCTGTGAGTTAGGCTGAGGCCATGGCACCCTACCCTAGGAGATAAAGCAAGACTCTGTCTCAGAAAAAAAAAAGAGAGAAAGAAAGAAAGAAAGAAAGAAAGAAAGAAAAGGAAAGAAAAACAGCTGGGAATAGGATGAAGCAAGGAAAACACTCACTTAGTGTGCAAAATTTAAGGGGGTGCCAGAGTTCTCAGAAATCAAGATAAATAATATTTTTAATGTGATATTTTTTAAATGTCAATACAAAAAACCATGATGATTCAAATATCCAAATTTTAAACAAAGACCAGATCCCACTGTGCAGAATAATGCCTCATTTGCCTCACCCTAATCCTGGCCCACGAATCCTGCATTTATTTAAAATTTTGATATTTTGCTCATCAGGGATTTTTGTGCATTAATTTATAATTATTGCATTAGAATAAAAATATTATTTATCTTGATTACTGAGTGTTTGCCTGCCCTACCTTTACCTGCCTAAATTTTCTGTCTGCGATTAGTGCCTCACTCACCTCATCTTAGTTCCAGGCTTGGCATGCATCTGCGAAACTGTCATTGCAATCAGAATATTAACCATATCTGTCACCCCAAAAAGTTTCTTCTCGCCCCTCTATAATCTCTCCCTTCTGCCACTGCCCACCTTGACCCCTTGCAGTCACCAGGAAACCACTCATCTATTTTCTATTCATCATGTGCCAGTTTGCATTTCATAGAGTTTTATATAAATGGCAATATAAAGTTTGCTTTCCCTTTTATTAGCTTCTTTCACTTAGCATAATTATTATCAAGTTGTAACATGTTCGATTTTTTTTATCGCTAAGTATTATTATGTTCTTTTACCTGTTGATGGACTTTTGAGTTATTTCCGGTTTTAAAGTATTGCAAAGAAAGCTGCTTGACCATTCATGTGCAAGTCTTTGTAGGTATACATATTTTTCTTTCTCTTGAGAGAAAGAATAATATCTAAGAATGGAATGGCTGGATCAAATGGTAGATGTATGTCATTTTAAGACGTTGCCAAACTGTTTTCAAAATGGTTGGATCATTTAACATTCTATCCAGCAGTGTATGAGAATTCTAGGTCCACCACATTCACATTGACATTTAGGATGGAGAAGAGTGATGACAGGATCTGGCAGAAAGTAAAAGCTGAGAAAGACTTAAATCTGCCTTTACTTTGAGTGCATTCCCAACCCCATGCACAGATCCATTGGCTGAGGATATCCATCCGCTCAAGTTGTTTAAGTAAGTCCTCTGAAAAATCATTAGGTGACCACTAGATATGTTGATCAAGGTGTAAACTGTAAAGCCAGGCTTAAAAATAAAATTAAGAATTAAAAAATAATAAAACTGAGCAGAAACACCAGCAACTGAACATTGTGTGTGAGATAGACTGTATAGAATTAATCTAGGAAAGCACTGAATAAAAATCCAAACAAACAGTAGCAAAAATTCTTTGGGGAAGGAGGTATTAGTTTTCTGTGCAGTGTCACAAATTGCT